AAATATCTTTGCTAGGAAGTTTGGTACCAATTACTTTAGCCCAAATGGTGCATTCAGGGAAAAATTTGATCCCAATAAAGGTTTTGGTAATGAGATCAGTTCTAAATATTTTCCCATCAGCAGCTATGAAAAATGATGTCTTTTTTTACCAGAGTTCTTCAGGAAGAATGTCAAGATTCATCATCATTTTTTGTGCTCCAGTGTCAATGTATGCAATTGCTTTGATAGGCTTGTTGAACTTTGTTGGCAAGATTTGGATTTCAATGTTGGGATGAGGAGGAGATGAATTGATGCTAGTTATTGCTCCTGAAGAAAAGATCGGAAGTGATTCTTCTGCAAAAAGTTCTTCTTTAGAAGAATTTCTTACTGCAAAGATTGTATCTTCACCTATGAAGATTGTTCTGAATACAAAGATTCAACTTCTTCATCCCTAATTTTTAGAGATGTAACAATCTTAATGGCTTTATCAGCTTTGTTAGGACAAGATTTTGCAAAGTGTCTTTTTTTGCCGCACAAATAGCATCTTTGTCCTTGGGACTTTTTTCTAAAATTCTTTTTCTTGAAAAACTTGAGATTTTTCTCCTTCCTTTTGGAGGGCTTATCCCCCTTTTTTTTCTTGTTTTGACAACTGCATTTATCCTTGCATTTTATCTCTAGATATGATTTCTTGCAGGCTCTTCCAAATTTCCCCTTATTATTCATTAAATCAGAGAAATATTGGTGTTGCCGACATAACTTATCAACAACTTCCTTGGTCATCTAGTGGATTTGTCCCATAGTCATGTTAGAGAAGTCTTTTTGAGTTGTAATGACCATTCAATTTAATTCTGGTTGTAACTGGACAAGAAGGGAGGCCACGTAGGTATTTTTGAGACTGACATCATTTGCTCCATTTAGCAGATAGAATCTTTGTAACATTAGTTTGAAATGTCTGTCTAAATCTTTCATATTTATGGAACAACACTTCATCTCAAAAAATTCTTGTCCCATCTTCCTGTCAATGATGGCTCCATCTCCAATAAATTCTTCATGGAGAGCTCCCAATACTGCAGCAGTTGTCCCTAGGTTATGAAATTGATCCCGTCGAATTGGTCCTAGGTTGTGATACCATTCCTTCAAAGTTTCAGTCATTCGATAGCAGAATTCTTATATAACTTTGTAGGAATCTGAGTCCTTAATGAGTTTAGTGTCTAGCCAAGCTCCAAACTCAATAAGTCTTGCTCTACACTAATTGGGAGGAAGATCATCTATGGAAAACCATGGCCCACTATTGGGTTTGGAAGGATTGTCTCTCAAGGGTGGGTTAATTTCCTCAGGAGATTCATATATGGGTTCTTGTCTTGTACTGGAAGTTGTCGTATTGGCCATGAATACATCTGCATATTCATCAGAAAACTTTGAGTTACCATCAGAGAGATTTTCAGTATTACTATCTGAAGAAGTGTATTCTAAAGATCTTATGTTGGTGATTCCAATAGTGAATTGTGAGTACGGATCCTAGGAATCCTGAAAATAGTCTTCCTTTTCAGTTAGATTTCTAGGGGACTCTGATTGAGTGGGGGAGGAGTTTTTTTGGTTTCTTGTGAGGGTAACTAGGTTCTGGTTTTTTGTTTCATTCTAAAGGCTGAAGCAGTTGGTAATGAATATGTTTGTTTGGACTTATGGATCATGGAAGAAGAAGGTTGGAAAAGAGGCCTAAATGGGGTGAAGGGAGGAGGACTGAAAGGATCAAAAAAAGATAACTGTTTTTCTTTCATTTTTGATTCTATGTAATGGTCCAAATCTTGGATTTGTGCTTTCAACTTCTTGATTTCTCTTTCTTTGGCCTGAGAGGTTTCGTCAAAATTAGTTCTTCTCCATTCTTCTTCTAAGCGGAAAATTTCCTATGTAAGATAGACATAGTGTTCTTTCATTCTTTCATAAATATGCTTTAATCGGGCATCTGTATTCTTCATTTGTGATGAACTTTAGCGTTTTCTGTCTGCCAATTGAGCACTTCTTTAGCTTGGGTTAAAGGCTTAGATCTCCCATCAGGTCCTATTTCTGAGGGGTAGATATTTGGCTTGATGTTGATCCTGGTGGTAGGATCTACTTTTCTTTCCAAAGAGGGAAATTCTTGTTTATAGTTGGAATCAAAAATCATAAAACAGGGGATTTGAGTCTGAGGGATCTCTGGAGGGAAAGAGAACCTTCCTTCTTTTCCCAGGATTTCTGCACATCTTTTTTGAAACCACAAAGGATCTGGTTCTTTGGGTTTATGTAGGCCAATCCATGGTCCGGAACTGGGACCAGATCTTCTCCTAAGAGAAGAAGATGGTCTACAATAGTCTTCATGGTTTGTATCCTTATCTTCCTCATCTGACTCGTCATCGTTGGAGCTATCATCATCTTTGCTGCATTCACAATCTGGGTCACGCATAGAAGGATCAATATCCCATATGAAATTACCATTGACTTTGTCTGTGAATATGGGCTTTCCATCAAGAAGAACTCCCCAAATGGGGATTTTCCTTTCCTTTGTAACTGGTCGAATCATCATAGATTGAAAAATATGGGAGGAGCTTGTACTAGCTTCATCTCCTAATTGCTTAAAGATGGTTATGACTGTCCCATCTACAGACCTTCTAAAAGTGGCTTCAGAAGTCTGGAAAGGTTTTTTATTTTCATGTAACTTCTCATAATTAGTCACCTATTGTAGAGGATCAGTTGCTCTAACTGTTGTCTAGTAATGTTTCTAGGGATCTGGATTATTGATGGGCTTTCTTCATGAGGGTTAGCCATAACAAATAGAACGCCTTCACTACTAGAGGGTAAGGATAAGTTGACTGCATGATTATGTAACCTATAAATAATCTGATGATGTAGTGTTGCATAAAGGGCTTCAGCTACTTGTTCGGCTCCCGTGATCTGAACTTGGACTTTGAGTCTTTGAGGTAGTGTAGGATCTCTTATGCTAACATTGTAGTTAGGAAACATAGTGAGAACTACACTTTCTGCATGTAAGGTAGTCAGAATTGTTCCTATGACAACATTTTCATAGTGGAGAAAGTTGGAATCCAAGAGAGAGACTCTGGCAGAGACAGGAAGACCACTTCTTCCATGAAGGGAAAGACTAAGTTTGATGACTCCGTAATGAATGTGAGTGCATACTTCATGTTGCCAATGACTAATTAATTCTTTAGGTATCTCTATTGTAACATATTATTCTTCAGGTGTAGCTACAAGAGAACATTGTTCCATCCTAGAGGATTGAACATATTCTTTTTCAGGAGGTCTTCGGGAGGTTGAGTCTGGCGATAGATCTAATGGAAGATCTTCGTCTTTTGAAAATATTGTACAGACTAAGCAGAGGGGTTGAGGACTCAGAAATTTGCGCATCTTCAAGAACATGTGAATATTCTATTAGGTTTTTAATTTTTGAAGAGAGCGTTCTGGAGATATTGTCTGGTAGAGATAAGGAGGAATTTAAGAGAACGGGTTGTGATTCGATAATTGTTTCCATGGGTTAGATGTCTCCCTCTATTCACCCTATTTCATATTATATCATGGTTTCTCCTTTTAGAGAAGTCAAAGAAGTAAACTGGCTATACTTTTTATTTCATCATGTTATAATAATATTAAATTAACATTATCATATCCGTTTTTTCTTTTAAAATGTTTATGATAAAATAACTAAGTGCTTAATAAGTTTTTAATTCTATCTTCATAAAAGTTGACTTTAATATATATATATATTATGTTATTGAAAATTAATAAATAAATTATAGTCAACAAAATGATGTATTATATATTTTATTTAATAACATAATAATAAATATAATATAAAAACATTACAAATTATAATATATTAGACTATTTAATAAAATATAGGGTTAAATATGTTTTTGATCCTTAACTTATAGTGAAATTTGGAATTAGTCCCTCTTCAAAACTTTGACCTAATTTAGTCCCCAAACTTTAAAAATGTGTGACTTTAGTCCTTTTAACTAAATTTTGTTAGGTTTATTTGATGTTTCAAGTGCGTTTCATGATAACATTTGAGTTGTTTATACCATTTGACACATTTTTGCTTCAATGTTAACTTAGAAATGCGTTTGAAACATCAAATAAAGTTACCAAAATTTGGTTAAAAGGACTAAATTCGCACATTTATAAAGTTTGGAGACTAAATTAGTCCAAAGTTTTGAAGATGGACTAATTCCAATTTTCACTAAAAGTTAAGAGGGATCAAAAACATATTTAACCCTAAAATATATAATTTTATATATGTACTTAAATTATATTATTTCTAAAAATTAATTAAACTCACTTTAACCTTTATTCTAAACCACTTGAGAGAGGTTGGAGTTTTTTTTTAATTCACTTAAATGAGTTTTTAAAAAGAGTTTTTCAAATTTGGATTAAGATCGGTCCGTGAGTCATGATCAATTTGACACCTCTATGAAAAATGCATAATTAATAAGTTCATCATTCATTTTAGACATGGCTCTCCCTCCCTAAATATTCCTATGAATTAAATGATGGTTAGTCGTCACTCCCCATTTTAACTAAAACAATTTTATTGTATATACAAGCAACAATAAAACAATATGCTGTTAAAAAGAAAAAAAAAATCAAGTGAATTGTCTCACTGACATGACTGAGGTTTGAAATCAAGGAATGGATATCCCAAGAAAAAAATATATTTCTCATTTGGTTTGATTTAAACCCAAACATACCACATAAATTCAACCATATTAATTTAACTTTCTAAGAATATCTAGTTGGTACAAATTAATAGATAAAATCAAGTGCAATCAATTTAGGCCCTTCCCGTTAATTAGAAATCTAATACTTAGATGAAGTAAGCATAAAGCATGCAATGTATTACTTTTAAAGCACTTGGTTCTACTTTTTAAAGCTCTCTCGTTTGGGATATGGTAATATATACATGTGTTTCTACTGAGAATATCATCATAAGCATAAACGTTATCTAAGTTTTCTCCAAACACAGTCGTATGTACATCTGGCAAGCTGCATTTCATTAGCTACACATAAATTGCATGGGTAATGTTTGAAGGAAGATACCTTGTACATAATTTTCTTTCCTATTGTCAGAGAATTTTACAGGTGTCAGAATACCCACCCACAGGTCATTCTATCCTAAGTGCCAAGTTAGACAAACAAGAACTGCAAGACCTACAAACACATCACTGCCAAACTAATAGTTGTCTCTTACATTTTCATTCTTCTAATAACTTATCAACATGACCTAAGAACACAAATCTGATCAGTCAAATTACAGAACCATATCAACATGAGGTCAAGATCAGCTCCAACTATACTGGAATTGACACCCTGCAATCTGTCACTGCAGCCAAAAAGCAAATATTTTATCAAGTTCTATGCATTTTGGAAAAGCAAAAACTAATCCATCAAACTGAAAACAAAACTTTCAAAACCTGTCTAGGATAAATCATTGTTTTGTGAAATTTGCATTGCATGCACAAGTACGTATAAAAAGTGGCAGAGTCATGAATTTTGGGAATCGCTTTACTCTGTTTAGCCAGACTCAATCTGTAACCTCATTTTTCATGACAAGCTTGTATTAACAAGATCAAAATATTCAAAACGTAAGTGCTAACCAATGACTTAATTAAGGAAAAAGCTAATGAAAAAAAATACATTATATTAAATTAGATCTCATTAATATTAAAAGTTTTAATCAATTCCCTCAATTTTTTAAATTTACAACAATGTTGCATTTTTTTTTTAAATGAGAAAGTGGATTGAACTTTTTTATTAATAGGGGGTCAGACTGGTCAAAATAAATAATAGGACCAAAAAGATAATTAACCCTATTATAAATAACAATATATAAGTCATTCAACGTTTTTTTAAAGTAATTAAAAGCATTAAAACTAACAAGGTATATTTAAAACTAACAAGCAATAAAAAGAGAGACTATAAGACATGCACTATTACCATAATAACTTTTGGTTTACAATTTCCTTATTATCATACTAAAAAAATTATATCAACTTATAACATGCTAAATACAAGTAAGAACCAGTTCGATACCATGAGACGGTATCCTGGAATAAAAACCAATCATAAAAGATATGGAGATTCAACACCGCGCAAAGTAGATAAGACATCATAGAATAAAATTGACTAAGCAGTCAAATATCACAGAAGCTTCACATAAAGGAGGTCCAGTCAAAATTCAAAAAGGTGGGAAAAAGAAGTGATATAAAGGTTTTGGAAAACAAAACTGCTGTGAAGTCAATTCTACTAACCATAGAATGCTGTCAGCATCATGAACTCCTAAAAATATGATGACGGCCCAGAACTTCAGGTATCCCCAATGCTGAAATGCTTTCACAGCCAAAGATCTCCTGAAGCTTCGCATCACACAGTATTGCCATAGGATTCATAGGATCCTAGGAATATCAGATCATAATTTGTTATTCGCGTCACATAGTCAACAAGTTATGTCCCAACGAAGTTAATAACACATAATTTGTTATTCAGAATATCAGATCATTAAAATATTGTTTTCAAATTAATTGTGTGAAAAGCAAACTATTTTTATCTTACTGAAATAATCATATTTGCCTTCAATTGCCCATTCGAATACAAACTGGAGGACCTACTTGCTTGTGCACAATCCTAGTAAAAGCACAGAAACTTACTAATGCACCTAACATTCGAGCACTAGAAACAAATTATACAAATACAAAGACTGAAATTTCAAGGTTCGATACCAGATTCAATCACACTTAGTAAAACAGAAAGTAATCACAATGTAAGATGTGTAGAAATACTAGTAATTGAATAAAAAATGTAAAATAGTAATAATAACAAACAGGGAAAGTAAAACCCATATAGTTAAAAGACAAAGATTTAAATAGGAGCAGAGTTTAAAGAAGAAAAAACATGGAACTTTTAAGCGAGTTTGTGTTTGAAAAAAGCTATCAATTAGCTTATCAGTAATTATCAGCATCATCATCATATTAAACTTTAACGCATGGATATCAATGCACGAAGTTGGTGCATATTCTATCTATTCATTGTTTACCTCTAGCCTGTTGACTTTTATGTACTCCCAGATACGTCTCAGAACTTCAGACTGTAGCATCTCCCTTTCAGTAATCCCAAAAAAGTTAGCCAGTGCATCAGATATTATTACAGAGGGAGTAGGTTCAGTAATTCTTTTTCCTGAGTCCACATCTACCTTCTGCTTCTTTGGAACAGGCTTTTCTGAAAGTGAACAAACATGAAGAATTTAAACAACACATTAAACCACAATTCAAAAAAACAACCATCGCCAAGATACTTACTGGTTGGTTCAAGGGGGATAATGTGTTTAGCTAGCAACTTGTTCATCTTGAACATATCAGTACAATCAGTCTCAAACACCACACGCAGCTCTTCATTGCAAATTATTTTCCTTTTGTTGCTGGGATCTTGAAGATTGTTTTTCCTTATGTAAGCCCACAGTTGCTTGACAATCTAAACCACATTCATTTCACATTTTAGAAATATTGCTGGAGCATGCATAAAGCAAACAAACAAATTTCAAAAAATATATTGCTATTAACCTCAGTCCTCGACAGTGCTGGCTGGCCAACAATGACCTGAAGTTCAGGCGATACACCACAAAGTTTGGTGAGACCTCCAGGGCCACCTCTTCTCTTCACCTTTGTTTGAGTACTACAAGACACAAGAAACTAGTTATGATTACCAAAAAAATCACTACGAAAAAGCAAATGTAATACATAATATTCAGTTTAAAAGTACAAAACAGAAAGGTTTGAATTCAAGCACATGCAAACTCATCGCCCCTTACTATCTATACAGTGATCTTGAGTAACAACTATGTTGCTGACAGAGAATCTGTAGTTAAAGCTTAATCTTCGGCGTATGGCAAGTATGGTTTCCCTGTTTTCAATTTTTATTTTTTACAAACAGATAGAAATGTCACTTTATTTTCACTTTTTCAAGCAAAAAACAGGCCAACACAACAACAATACTAATTTTACTAACAACTGAATCTTCCACTACTAAGTATAAGTGAAAGTAAAACAAACATACAAAAATATTTTCACAAACCAAATTCTCTGTTTTCAACAATTAAACAACTAGCCTTTATTAAGTCTGTCAATTGCATATGTTAAATATTTAATTTCAAATGACTAAAATTCATAATAAATATCTAAACATATATAAATTATAGTTTAAACATACAATCAACAATTTAAATTAAAAATGAAAATTATTTTTAACTATTAACAATATATTTAAAAAATATTGAAATTTAATTAGTACATAAAGAAAAAAGGAAAAAGATCACAAGAGAAAGATAATAATAAAGATTAATCATACCATATAAATGAAAAAATAGATGTAGATGGTTGAGAGAAACTGTTTCACTAATCAAGGAAAGAGTATGAAAACAATCTTGTAGAGAACCGATAAATTATACAAAAGAATATGTAAAGTGCATGTTTAGGTTAAAGTTAGGAGACCTCAAAGCCTTTTTCTTCCAAAAATAGCAAATCTTTCCTTCTCAGTTCATTCATTGGAACAAGCAAATTTATATTAAAATTTACAAAAATGTTTCTGTAACATTAAACTAAACATCTATAAAATTAATCGGTATACATATTTTCCATATATATTTATAAAAAATATTAGAAAAACACAATGACAGCTAAAATTAAGTCGTGCATGAAATACAAATTAACTAAGATGAAAGGTCCTTTACAAATTAGTCTAAGTATAAATATTTTTTTGTCATTTTCTTTTTTTCCTTCTATTTTTTCCATGTATAAAAAAATGAAAAAAAAAATATCACTCCCGAGTTGTAATCTAAACTATAATACGCTAATCGTGTATTATATTACAAGCAAAAACCCGCTGTTCACAGTTAAAGTGGCGCTAATTGTTCCAATTCCCTTTCCCTAACCCTAATTTACCATCACTTATGAGCTCTCACTCTTCCAAACATTTTCAAACAAAACAAACTATTTGTTCTCAGCGAAACCTAACCTTTCCTTCGGAGCATCGTTAACAGGAGCAAGAGCAGGGGCAGAGGCAGCAACAGGAGAAGGAACTTCAACGCGCGAAATATCAGCAGGAGTGGCGACGACAGCGTTAGAAGAAATGAATTTGGTAGCCTGGAAGTCGGAACTGACAGGAACAGAGTGGAAATTAGGGTTTGATGGAGGGACGAAACGGTCTTTCTGTTGCTGTATCTGCCTCTGCGCATTTTGCGGCGGAGGTTGTGGTGGTTGTGGTTGGGATCCGAAAAGGAGGTTGATCTGCGCAGTGATGAAATCGAGCTTATGAGAGAGGTCGTGGCCGAGCTTAGCCTGAAGCTCCTCCACCACCTGGTTCAGCGTCGTGAAACTACGCTTGCTAGGGTTCGATTCGCGCAGCAGCGACGATACCGCTTCCGATATTTGTTCCTCTGTCACCATTTTTTTTCTCTCTCTCTTTTAAACTGAAATAAACGGACTCTTTTCTCCCTCTCTCTCTCTCTCTGGTGATGAGGTTTTTGTTTTCTCTCTCTACTCCATAGTGTAGTTCAGTCTCTCTCTTTCTCTCTCTCTCTCTCTGACTCTTGTTGGGTTTTGAAGAGTGGAACGGAAAAAGACAGAAATTTGAAGGGGTTCGATTGCAAGATGCCACGTGGTCTTCTCTAAAATTGAAGTTAAATAAATATTAATATTATTTTTTCCTTTTTGTCAGAACAGAAGTTATATCTGTCATTTGATTGTTGAGAAAGATATTTTGGTTAAAATAGTACATAGATTCCTTTTTAGATTTTTTAAATCATTTAGTAGTTTTTTTTTTATGTTCGTTGATGATGACCTGAACAGAAGTTTTTCATGGAACTTGTTTTATGGAGTTTATCTTATGCAAATATATTAGTCTTTTCAATTTTATGCAATTCGTTTTTAGTTTTTTAAAAAAAAAAGGAAGTAATATCCAAAAAAGTATAACTTTTCTTTTAGTGTTTGAAAAATAAAAATATTCTTCTCATAGAAACTACATCATGTTCAAATCAATGCTATTCTTTAGGAAAGACTGAATTCATACTTCTTGCACAAATATAGTTAATAGGTGGGTAGTTAAATTTGAAGGCATATAACAAGTATCTTTATGATGTAAAGTTTATGGTCAATAATTATAAAATTTTAAAATACTTTTTTGATAATATTGAATTAAATATGTGACACACAAGATCGATGTGGCAAAAAAGATGGATGAAAATTTTTAGGAGTTTTAGTTTTAATATCATTTTGAAAAGATAAATATAATATGTGTGTTTGATTATAATTTATAGAGAAGTTAAAGGATTTTTATTTTGAAGTGGAGTTGGCAGTGGCCATATATTTTGTAGTATGTGTTTGTATGATTTTCTTTTTGTTGGGAGACTAAGGAAAAGTAGATTTTATATAATAGTTTGAAAACTGTGATAAATTTGATAGGTACAAATGAGTTAAAAGACTCATGTTTTGGTACATTAATATTTTGTGCATGAGGATATATAGAGGTTAAGCATGTGATTTTGGAAGAAGATTATAAGATTAAATTTAAATATGCACTCACTTATGATTTAAATGTGTTAGTACTAAAAGGCTGTATTTTTTTTTCGAGTAAGAAACTCGAAAGTTGATGTAGTTTGTTTGACCTGAAGTAAAACATGATAACGACGAGGTTAGGAAAAAAAAACTTAAAACGAGAGAATGATTAAGAGTAATATTGTTAAAATGAACCAATTGGGTTGTATCCGTATTAGTTAATTAGTAAGTTAATTTAACTTGGTTTAGTATAAGTCAAAAACATTTGAGTGAGACTTAATTTTGGTGAGTTAAACGGATTAACTTATTTAATTATAATATTATTTTAATTCCAAAAATAATAATACTAGTTTCAATTTAAATAAATTTTAGTCAAAAATGATATTAAATTCTAAAGATAATTCAAAATAAAAAATATACAATATAATCCAAAATCATCATAAACTACAAATACAATCAAAAAGCAAAGATAAAAAGCAAAATTAAGTGGGTTGGTAAGTCGGGTTCTTAGTAGACTGGGCTCAAAATTGACTCCTATCAAAATTTCAAATTTTTTTTAACCTAACTTGGCTTGAACACATGATAGGTCAGGTTGATTCACAAGTTCCAACCCATCCTGACAACACTAATTGAGAGGAAAAAATAAAGAGAAAACTTAATGTGTTTATTTTAAGGTAAGTCATGTTTTTGGTGATGGATTTGTGAGTTGAAGTTGTGTTTGGATCACTGAACATAAAAAGCAAAATTAGGAATATACAATATAATCCAAAATCATCATAAACTATAAATACAATCAAAAAGCAAAATTAAGTGGGTAGGTGAGTCGAGTTCTTAGTGGACCGGCTCAAATTGACTCCTATTAAAATTTCAAATTTTTTTCAACCTAACTCGGCTTGAACACATGATAGGTCGGGTTGATTCACGAGTTCAAACCCATCTTGACAACACTAATTGAGAGGAAAACATAAAGAGAAAACTTAATGTGTTTATTTTAAGGTAAGTCATGTTTTTGGTGATGGATTTGTGAGTTGAAGTTGTTTTTGGATCACTAAATATAACTGGCTAAATCATGTCATTCGTACTCATTTTTGTATGAAAATCTTAAATGGATTCTTTTATATGCGTCTCAATTTGGTTTTTATTTTGGGAAATTTGATGTAATCAACTCTTTTTGATTAATATTATACTAACAATGTTAAAGAGGTCTTATATATTAGTTCGCGTTTTTTTTTTCAATTTAAAAAAAAAAATAAAAATTTGTTACATATGAAGTTGATGTTGTGTCACATGGTAGTGCCAATATCACAAAATTAGTTTGTATTTTAGTCTCAATTTAATACTGTATTTTTATTTTATATCAATTTAATTTCTTTTTTTTAAGTAAACAATTTCATCTATCTAATAATTAAAACAAAATTTAATTTTTATATAAATTGTATACAAATATTTGTATTAAAAATAATATTTTTATTAAATATTTTTAATAAGATTAAATTTATTTATATTTATATTTTATGTTGAATTTTACTTAAAATTGATTTAAAGTTATTAATAGAAAGTAATGTTAATAGAAAAAAAAATTAAAATTAATTTCAATTAACAAATATGTTAAACGTGTTTATCAACTTAATCAATTTTATTTCATAAAATAAAATAAATTTATCAACTTTTCAATTATTTTAAGTAATTAAATATTTTTAAAATGTGTAAAATTCAATAATTTCTATGGAAATGCTTGCGTTGGTTTAAAAAATAATAATTTTATAAATTCAAATATAAAATTTTATAACAATTTTAAACAAATAAATTTAAAATTTGAAAAAATAATTTTAAATAAAGTTCCATGTAAAATATAAATATAAATAATAAAAATATTCAATAAAAATATTTGTATAACATTTATTCAAAAATTAAATTTCATTTCAATTTAGAAATGAACAAAATTGCATTATTTAAAAAAATGAATTAAATTGAAACAAAATAAAAATATATGGACCAAACTAAGACTGAGGCAATGACACTTAGTGTAACAGTGACAATGATACATGTCACAGCATTGCCATAAGGCACGACGTTAGCTTGACACGTGAAAAAAAATTATTTAAAACAAAATCACAAACTTACACGTGAACCTCTTTAACGTTGTTAGTACACGGACAAAAAAGATCTGATTGCATCAAATTTCTCAAAATAGGACCAATTTGAGATTTTCCTACAAAAATGGAGACAAATAGCATGGTTTAACTTATATATGGATATGCGAGCTTGAAAATATAAAAAAAATTTGTGAGAAAGAGGTGTTTCTCAACTTTGAAGAGAAAGGTATATATAATCAATCGTCTAATGTTTCAATTACTCTCAGTTTGTCCATAATGACTCATCTCTCTTTTTTAAGAGTCTACTTAGTAAACTTTCAATAATATTTCCCTCAAGAAACTTTAATGCATCACATAATTGGAAATTTGGGTGGTAACAATATCAACTTACATCATATTTCATTAAAAACCCAAAGCCCCACCAAAATCATCTTCATCATCCCACACAAAAAAACAAGTCACTCACTACTAGAGCTCGACAAGACAACACATTGATGAAGAGTACAAAAAATCTCTAAGTTGATCTAGATCTCATTCATGAAATTCGGGAAGAAGTCCATGTAATAGAAGCAACAACAAAACAAAGAGTTAAAAGATAGTACAACACTAGAGTAAAAGAGCTAGAAACTTGACAAAATGGAGAAAGAAAGATCTCTCCAAATGGAAACAACCCAAGAAGTAATCATCGAACTCTATCTAAGTAGTGAAATCTCACACAAACTGTTCTGAAAGGAGCCTAACAATCCAAGCACGAAAATTGCCTAATCACTCTAGCAACCACAAAAGGTTGAAATAATCTTGATCTCTAAAACATTGGGATAAATAGAGTAGATTGTAGAAGGAGTAACTCGATGTTATAGTGTCCGAATACAAGAGTAAATTCAGTATTTTAGTGATCAAGTACAGGAGGAACTCGATGTTATAGTGTTAGAGTACAAGAGCAGCTCGATGTTCTAGTGACCTGATACAAAATCAATTTGGTGTTCCAACACCCGAGTACAAAAGCAAAAGAAACTCAACATTACAATGCCCAAGTACAAGAACAACTTGATGTTTCAGTGACCGCACACAAAAACAGTTTGGTGTTCCAACACTCACGTACAAGAGCAAAAGCAACTTGACGTTCCAATACCCAAGTAAAGGAAGAATTCAGTGAGTACAAGAACAATTTGGCATTACAGTGCTTGAGTACAATAACAACTTGGCGTTCTAGTCTTTAGATACAGGAGAAACTAAGGGTTCCAATACAAAAGTAACTCAGTGATCGAGTACAAGATCAACTCAGCGTTCTAGTGTCCAAGTATGGTCACTCGTGTTGTGTTGCATTTATTTTAAAATAATTCAAAAAATACGAAAAAAAAAATCTTTTTTACTTTTTGGTGTTTGTTTAATCACTTACATTGATGACACAAAAAAAAAGTCTTTTTCACTTTTTTACTTTTTGCTTTTGTGGTGATTTTTATTGCTATATAGAGTCATTGCCAATGAGTTTCACCCTACAACATACAAGGTAATTCCTTCTAGTCCTTGGCGTAAAAACCCTAGACCAGGACCTCTTATTACTCCCACCATATAATTCATCATTTAGAGTATCAAGATAATCTTAAATACTAAATTTTTATATCAATGCATACACTAGGAACAAATGCCTAATCCATCTTGGATTAAAGCAAACCATCCTCAAACAATTTACATACTTATAGAATTATAATACTAACATCTATCTCTCATTGAAATATCTAATGAAATTACCAATTTCATAAAAATATTAAAAGGTGAGAAACTGTGTTAGTCTTGCTCAACAAAAGTCTCCACCCACCTATCAAGTAGTATACGAGGGACCACTCACTCAGTGGTTAAAGATTTTGCACGACTTTAGTACTGGAACAACTTTTGCAATAAATCATCTAACAAACCCATTATCTGCCCAATAAGAGCACCACTGAAGTACCTTAGGATTTATGTGCCAAAATTCCATCGAGCGAGGAGATTACTCGCTTAGCAGCGTAAACTATCCAAAATTTGATTTCATTTTCACCAGTGTAGAATTTGGCCCACTCAACGAAATAAGTACTTGGAAGAATCATTTAAATTCTTAGTTAGCTACACTTACTCGCCTAATAATCAAAACTCTTGGGAAAATGAATTATGTAAACTCGTCCAACGAGAATGCCTTTCACCCAACAAATTTGCATAATTTAGAGAACAAAATTTACAATTTTAGACAATCTCAGCCACCAAAATCAATTAAAAAACTTCATACAAACCAAAACACAAACCAAATGCTAATTAACAACAATCAAAGCAAAATAAACCACTGATCCATATCCAATTCACTATAGAACAACAGAGATTTCGTAATACATACACACATCTCATAATTGAATGCTTCATACCTAATATTATAGTGCAACCAAACAATTCATGTAATTCTATCCTACTTTCACAACCTCACATCCAAATTTCAATTAAACAATTCCAAAAATAAAGACATCAAGATTAACTTATCTTACATGTTAATGATTCAATTGCTCTAATAATAACTTCTAACTTACCAAAATACCAATAACTCCGCAAAATACTTTATTTACACATAGAAACGTTACAAGAACAATCATATCATACCATTATAATCATTGATCATTAGAGATTCATATTAATAACTCGCGAAACACATGCAAAAGAAGAATAAATTAATTTAAGAAAAATGATGAAAAGCCAACTTACTTAATAAAAAAACTGACCGCTTAAATTTGAAGAACTCATCACGATGATCACTTAGTAGTATAAGATATTAAAATTGAAAAATAAAAAATGAAATAACCTAAAAAAAGTTAGAAAACTATTGAAAAATGATTTTTAAAAATGTTTTTAAATAATGAAATTTTTATAAACTTTTTTATTATACTAACTTTAATATTAAAATAATCAAATCTTATTATTTTTAATAGTAAATACTTCTTAACACCTCAATAAAATTAATTCTATTCACGTCGTTTAGATATCTATTTCATTATTTTTAAATGAATCACATTTATTAAATATTATATTAATTTAAAAAATGTTTATTATTTTTCATATATATATATATATATATATATATATATATTAAATTTGACTTAATGCACACTTTTAAATTATACTAAAAAAGTATACTGGATTGTTTTTTTAATTATTTAATTTTGGATAAAAGTTAATACAAACTATAAGGTATCTGATGCTATGAAACTTACACAGTAATAATCCATGATCCATAAATTTGTAATAAAGCTTTAAAAAAAAATACACCTCACTCTCAGGCTTCCGTATCTGTTTCTTTCAGAATCTTGGGAAAGAGTTTAAGCAAGAATCAACCGTCTTCCTTTCTCTTTTCTTTTCTTCTCTTCTCCTAAACCCTCGCAACGCTGCGTTCCGTCATCGCAAAAGGTACGCATGAAGTTTCTTTCTTTCGCTCTTCAATTTATTCGTGTTAAATCCCTCGCAAACTGGCACCATGGCAGGGATACAAGTTCGCTGTTATCTCTTATGTATCCCTTAGTTTCTCACGGTTTTCTTTCCATGCTCTATCGGAATCGTTAAGTTTGATTCCTTTCTTACTGTTCCTCTTTATTATTACATGTGGATTGTGTAATTGAATTTTGGTGACTTCACATTCAGCGTTTTCAGTTACTTGTTAGTTTATTATGTTGTTAAGTGGTATGAGTGTTTTATATTGCCGCTCTTGTTACATTCTTTGATATTACTAATGCGACGGATGCAAGCACGATTGCGGTTGTGGACATTCCAAATTGTGTTATAATTGTTTTAAGCTACAGACGTGGCCATATTTTTTTTTTTTTGCGTTATTTGATTTTGTTGAAAGAATGCGATTGATGCTGCCATAATTGCGGTTGTAGACACTCCAAAAAGTGTTGTCAAGGTTTTGAACCATAATTGCTTTTGCAGTCATAGTTTTGCTGTCCATGTGCTATTTTGATGTTGTTGACCAAAGTGTGACCATTGCAACCACAATTGAGATGCAGACACTCCAATGAACTTTGTTGTTTCTGACTGTTTTTTAAAATCTTGGTGTTACTCATTGTTGTATTTTTTTATACATAATTTTTGTGTGTGTTTTTGGTGTTAGGTGTTGAGTAGTTAGGGTTTGAGGGTGAAAAAGAAAGGACATGGCATCTTCAGATGACGAGGGAGAGTCTCAGCCACTATCTGTGTCAAATTACTATTTTGAAGATTACAAAGATGTGCCGGTGTGTTTTTCCGTGTTACCAATTGTGTGGAGTGAGTCAGAGAGTCCAGTTAGCAAGAAAGTACAGGTGTTTTTGCGTGGTTTTGCAGATAATGGGCTGCAGAAGATTTTCATGCAAGTTGTTGCGTGGAGGTTTGATCTTTCCTATGTGAGGCCTGAGATATCGGTCTTGTCAAAGGATGGGAGATGGATTAAACTCGAGAAGCCTAGGAAAAGCTACGAGGAAACAATAAGATCTATTTTGATCACCATTCACTTCATGGGTTATGTGAAGAGGAATCCTGACTCATCTGCCAAGTCTGCGTGGGATAGCTTGAGTAAGAATAAGGAGTTTAGGTAATTTTCAGAGTTCTGGAGTTCTTTCTATCCAAACTGTTGTGGATTTGCATATTGTTACATTTTAAAAATTGTGTGCAGATCTTATGAAGTTATGCCTTCGCAAAATGATATATTAAATCATATGACTTTAATGGGTGAAGCTGCCAAAAGAGATGCTGGCTTAGCAAAGTCCAAGGTTTGTATTCAAGTCTTTAACAAATATGTTGTGGTGGTGAACTTGGAAATTAGCATTGGATATATTTTTCATTTCTGAAACATCCTTTGGGGGCTATTGATTCAAAATATGGTTTGGAAATATACTGGTAGATTTTTTTTTTTCATAGTGTGAAATTTATATTTTACATTAAACATGGGTCTGATAGCTGATGCAAGACCAGGAGGTTGTCTTATTGTATCTGTTGCTATTTTCTTTTTCCTTTTTTGTTTAAGAAAACAGGTTGTCTTATTATACTAAATTGTAAGCTTTCACATGTTCCAGAAAAGATTTAGGATTAAGAGGTAAAGTGGGATTGCATTTTTGAAGTAGATTTTTAATGTTGTGGTTGTGGCATCTGTCAAGGGCGAGGCTGTTAATTGATGGAGTTCAGAAATTTAAATAAGCTTCTTAATCTCTCTGATTTTCAAGTTTACCCTGTTTATGGAAAGAATGAATGAATAAAAAGTTAGTAGATTGCAACGTTCTCTCCCTGCTTCCCTTCAACTGCAAATCCTTTGCTACTCTTTCCAGACATCTGAGCACCACAACTAAAATTTTAGGTTGCACTTTTACCCTCCCTTTGCTTGAAAAACACTTCTCTAATGAATTGTTATTTTATTTGCGGGGTATTTCCCTTCTTCCATTCATGTTAGTAGTTATTTGCCTGTTTCTCTCTCACATGTGTAATTTAGGATGAATAACCATTTAGAAAAGCCTGAGGAGGGAATGCTGCCTTAGTGAGGAACTTCTTTTTCAAAGATAATAGTCCCTTTTTTTTATGACAAAACAGAAGATATATGGAAGCCTTTTTGACTCTGATAGAAGCAGGTAGTTGATGGGTTTGATATAGTTTACAAAAGAAGGAAAAAAGAAGGTAGTTAGTATAGTTGTAATTACATAACTGTACAGACTATTATAAATAGTCTTATTAGGAGGTGAGAAGGCAGTTTTGGAGTTTTTTTTGGAGAAAATTGTAAGTGAAAGGAAGGGAGAGGCAGGTTCTCTCGAAAGACCTGGGATTTGTGTGTACTAGTCACTAGATACAGACCAAGCTGTCTAGTTTTCATAGGAAGATCATCCAAGAACCTGTCTTGGAGTTCTTTACAGTGATAATAAAATCTGGGTACCGGTATACGGAACCTCTTTCCTGGTCCTGTGGTGGCTGTTAGGGCATGATGAATACAAGAATGGAGGCAAGATTGGATGGGCTGGAGAAAATAGTGCAAGAACAGGACAATGAGAATCATAGAAGGTTCCAACAATTGGAGGAGATGATTAAGGGGCTGACGGTTGTGGTAGAAAGATTAGTGTCCTCTGATAAACATACAGAAGACAACGCTTCTGTTGCCAAGGGAGGCAGTGACGGCTACAGGGATAATGGGGGAGGAGGTTCAGTCGGGGCTTCTTCAAAATGGAGGAAGTTGGAAATTCCTGTTTTTGCAGGAGACGAGGCTTATGGCTGGACTAATAGGTTGGCGAGGTATTTTCGTTTAAAAGGAGTATGTGAGGAGGAGAGGATGCAGGTTGATATGGTTGCCTTGGAGGGGAAAGCCTTGAATTGGTTTCAGTGGTAGAAAACCTGCTATCCAAATCCTACGTGGGAGGCATTCAAGGTGGCTGTTGTTTGCAGGTTTCAACCAACAATGCTGCAAAACCCCTTTGGAATTCTAATTGGCTTGTGACAAACAGGTTTAGTGGAAGATTATATTGTGCAGTTTGAACAATATGCTGGGTTCTTGAAGGGGATTCAATAGGATTATTTGGTAGGCACTTTCTTGAATGGGTTGAAGGAGGATATCAAGGCTGAGGTTAAGTTGTATGAACCCAGAAATCTTCTTGAGTTGATCATGAAGGCTCAGATGGTTGGGGAAAAAATCAGAGTTCCAGCAAAAGGGGAGACCCTGGACTTAACAAGTAGCATCACTAGTCACCAGGGAGGACAGCCAGCCACATCTACCCCGCCCATGCCTCCTCCACTTACTGAAGACTACATTCTGGAAGTATATCCAAAACAACTGCTAGATACTAGAAAGACCCCTCAAGATGACTTAGAAGTTCTTCTCAAATGGAAACATCTTTAAGATATTGAGAATAGTTGGGAATCATCTGCTTCCTGCATTCATAAAGAATTTCCAGAATTTCACCTTGAGGACAAGGTGAATCTTCATGGAGGGGGTATTGATAGGTTTGATACAGTTTACAAAAGAAGGAAAAAAGATGGTAGTTAGTACAATTGTAATTACATAACTGTAACAGACTATTATGAATAGTCTTATTAGGAGGTGAGCAGGCAGTTTTGGAGTTTTTTTGGAGAAAATTGTAAGTGAAAGGAAGGGAGAGACAGGTCCTCTCGAAAGACCTGGGATTTGTGTGTGTACCAGTCACTAGATACAGACCAAGTTGTCTGGTTTTCATAGGAAGATCATCCAAGAACTTGTCTTGGAGTTCTTTACAGTGTTAATAAAATCTGGGTACCTATCAGTAATATATGAAAGGAAATGGATGATTTTTTAGGAGAGCAACTCCTTTACAGCAGCAGTATGACTCTAGCTTAGAAAAGGAAACCAGGAAAAACCGAAAATAGGAATGAACCTAACTCAACCCCACAAAACCGGCTTGTAGGGTGAGGTTTGTACCCACTTATAAACTATGAATTTTTTTTTTTTTTTTAATCATGATAAATAGGGTAACCCTTAACACAATATAATGATGATAAAATAAGATAAATATCCTAACACTCCCCCTCAAGCTGGAGCATACAAATTGTATGTACCAAGCTTGGAACAAATATACTAAATCCGAGAACCCCTTAATGACTTGGTCAATACATCTGCGAGTTGATCGTTTGACCCAATAAACTCAGTACATATTTCTTTAGTCAACAACTTTTCACGAACAAAATGACAATCAATTTCTATATGTTTAGTCCTCTCGTGAGACACTGGATTTGATGTAATGTGGAGAGCATCTTGATTGTCGCAATACATCTTCATAGAATGGATGTCACAAAATTTAACCTCTTGAAGGAATTGTTTCACCCATATAAGTTCACATGTTAGTGATGCCATTGCCCTATACTCGGCTTCCGCGGTTGATCGAGCTACTACATTCTGTTTCTTACTTTTCCATGAAATAATGTTTCCTCCCAGAAAAACACAATATCCTGTTGTAGACCGTCTATCAATAGGTGAACCTGCCCAATCTGCATCACAATA